TGATGCTCAGCTCCTATCTTAGTCACTGTGAAGAGACACCAGGACCATGGTAACTCTTATAAACAGAAAGCATTTAATTGGGGCTTGCTTAGTCCACTGTCATCGTGTCGGGGAGCATGGCTTCAAGCCAGCAGGCACTGGAGCAGTAGCTGAGATCTACATCCTGATCTAGAGAGAGAGAGAGAGAGAGAGAGAGAGAGAGAGAGAGAGACTGGATCTGCATGGGCTTTTGAAACATCAAAGCCCACCTCCAGTGACACACTTTCTCCAACAAGGTCACACATACTCCAAAAATGCCATAACTAATCCTTCTCAAATAGTGTCACTCCCTGATGATCAAGCAAGCAAATATATGAGACTATGGGAGCCATTCTTATTCAGACCTCCACAGTTCTTTTTTTATACAGCCCAGGGTTCCCTGACCATAGACACACACACACACACACACACACACACACACACACACACACACACACACGGTGGGTGAGTAATCCCACCTGTATTACTTACTTTCTGTTGCTGTGATAAAACACCATGATCCAAAGCAACCTGTGGAAGAAAGAGTTTATCTGGGCTTTAAGTGCCAGAGGGAGAATTCATAGGGCAAGGGAGGTTGGATCAGGAAGATGAGAGATCAAATCTTTGGTGGCAAAGTGGAAGCAGAGAGAACAAACTAGAAGTTGGGCTAGGCTATGGACTCTCATACTTCCACATTTCATCAAGGATCTACCACCTGAAGTTTCCTTAACCTCTCTAGAAAGCACCATCAACTGGGGGACCAAGTGTTCACACACCAGCCTAGCACTAACCATCACCGGGTCCATATTTCTGTTCCTTCCTACCAAATCCTGCAAACTCAGGGGCTTAAGCAAAGTCTTTATAACTCAACAGAACTACTGCAGGGTAGCAAAAGGCTAAAATCAAGATGAGTTCTCACCTAGAGACCGATGTAAAATCTGCTTTCAAGTGCTTTCTTGTTTTTGGAAGACATCAGTTTGTTGCAGCTGGGAAGCTGAAATTTTCTGATGAAAGTCTTCAGCAGGAGATCCTCTACATTCCTCACCATACAGCCCCTTCAATCTTCAACCACCACTGAAATCTCATGACTCGGGGCCAACAAAATGGCTCAATAGGTAAAGATGCTTGCCTCAAATCCTGACCAACTGAGTTTGATTCCTGGGACCCACATGGTGGACAGGAGAACTGGTCAGACAGACTGAAATCTCAGCTAGAGAAACCTCAGCACATTTATTATGAAGACTTGAACAGGGAGGCAGGGTTATTGCATCAGCTGAAGGGGGTGGGGTAATGATACACAGATAAAAGAGGAGGCAGGGTTTCTGGTATATCATTGGAACAAGAAGAGAGGTTTAGCTCATCTCAGCAAGAGCACTGTCTGTAGGGAGCAGTCCAGGCTATAACTATCTAGAAGGAGAGCATTGCAGTAGACATTTTCTGGAAACACTATCAACATCTTCACATGGATCAGTAGAGAAGGCTTTGCCATTTCCCTTGGAGCCTCACCTCTGGGAAGGTGGGAGTGGAGAGGCTTTGCCATTTCCCTCTAGTCCTAAGAGGAGGATCATTGACATGTTCATGACGATGTCAACAACGTACATTCACTCGGGACTTCCCTCAGGCCTTCCTCTTCTTCCATTACCCTGGGGCTTGCAGACTATATTTTAACCTACTCTGGGTGGCAGGCTACCAGTATCAAAGGAGGTGGATGATGTTCCTATAGATGACATCCAAGGTTGTCCTCTGGCCTCCACATGCTCACTCACACTCAAATCTATGCACATACACATGAGCACATAAGCACTTTTTTTTTTGAAAGGATGGACATAAATTTCAGCTTTGATATGGTGCATTACTTCCCATCTCTATGACAAAAGACCTGAGACAACTCCAAATGAGAAAGCACTCACTTTGACTCAGTGACTCAGACTCTAGTCTCTAGCAGTATGGCCCAAGCCCTTGGGCCTATAGGCAGTAAATGACAAGAGCACAGTGAAGGAAATTGCTCACCTCAAGGTGGTCAGAAAGCCAAAAGAAAGGGAGATCAACATTCACCTTCAAAGATACTCAATGATCTAGCTTCCTCCTAGTATAGCCCATCTTCTAAAGCTGTGGTTCTCAAAATGTGGGTCATGACCTCCCCATGGGGGTCACATATCAGATATTCTGCATGTCAGATATTTGCATTATGACTCATAACAGTAGCAAAATCCGAGTTATAATGTAGTAATGAAAATAATTTTATGGTTGGGATCACCATGACATGGGTAACTCTCACAGCATCAAGAAGGTTGAGAATCATTGTTCTAAAGCTTCCAACAGCCCATCTGGGGATCAGCTTCAACCCAAAGGCCTTTTGGAGACATTTCAAATTCAAATCATTTCAGGTGGCTTGATATGCAGCCACATTTCTGAAGAATTATCTGAAGGGGAGGTCTGTCCCTAGCTTGTGAAGGAGTTTTGACCATCAGACCCAGAGTTTTTGGGCACTCTTGTGGGATATTCTTCACTCTTCCTAGGAGTACCCTGTTTATGCCTACATTTCACCACTTGTGATATCTTCTATTACATAAGTCACACCAATTTTGTCTTCTTTTACTCCATACTTAACATGTGACTTTCTAATAGAGCACAAAAGAGTGCTTGCCCAAAAATAGTCTCCATTATTGCTTTATATAGTTTTCTTTCTTTTTTTTTTTTTTTTTTTTTTTTTTTTTTGGTCATGTGACTGTTCAGCTTTTGGTCTCAAGAGGAGTCAGTTGTCTCTGCTCTTAAATTCAGATTGGGTTGTGACTTGTGTTGGCCAGCACTATGCAGCCAAAGTGACTGCATCTCAAAGGACCTCACATAACTGCCAGGTGCCTTGAAACACTGGCTCAAGCTGGCTGACTGAAAGCTGAGAATCTCCCTTTCATCCTCAATATCCCAGGCAGCTCCCAGGTAATCCCAAAGACAGAACTGCCTAGTTGCCTTGCAGCTGTCCCCAGATGCCTAAAAGAAAATAGAAATGCTCCATCTGTAGTATCACAAGGCAAGTAAATGGCCATTTAAGGAATGTTCTTGTGAGTTGCTTCATTCCTAATGCAAGTGAACTGATGGAAAAGTTAACCAACTCTTTTCAAAAATAAGCTGATATGCATTAGGTTTTTATTCCTGTGGCATAAAGAACTTACAGTCAGGCTCCATGAGTCTCTAAATCCCAAAAGGCTGAAGCAGGAAGGTCACAAATTCAAGTCTTGCCAGGGCTCCAGAGAGCTGGGCATGGAGCTCAGTGGTAGAGTGCTTGTTTAGCATGAGCAAAGCAGGTCCAATCTCCAAGAGGACATGAAAAGACAGGGCTGAAGAGATGGCTCTGTGGTTAAGAGTATCTACTACTCTTGTATCGGGCCTAGATTCAGGTCTCAGCACCCCCATCAAGTGGCTATCCACCACCTCTAATTCCAGTTCCAGAGGATCTGACACATTCTGGCCTCCACAGGCACCTGAAGGCATGTGGCATGCATAAACTCTTGTAGGCATACACACAAATAAAAATAGCTAATGAATCTTTAGTAAAAAGCAAAGAAAAGAAAACATAAAAGGGTCAGGTGGCCCAACTGGATGGCATTCCCCTACATATGGAATTGGGGTGGGGGATGGGAGGGGAGGGTGGTTAGGGTGCATGTGAGAGGGCAGAGAGGGTAAAAGGGAGGGAAGGAGGGAGGGAAGAAGGGAGGGAGGGAGGAAGAGGGAACTGGGATTAACATGTAAAATAATAAATTAAATTTAAAAAAAAATGCTTTGACTCCAAAATTTAAGTTCAAGGACAAATTACTGGGGAAAAGGATTTCTATTTTTGTTTCCACAGAAAATGAAAAGATGTGGATTCCTTCCAGACTAATGTGGTTTGATCAAGCCAGACCACCTGAAACAGAGTACCAGGTGATCCTACATTCAAAACAGCTGGACAAAGCAGCCTTACAGACTACAGCCAGGATTTCTGAATCTTCTTTGAATCCCCCATGACAGTGCCCCTTACCAGCAGGAAGTAGTTTGGAAAGAACAACACCCAAATTCCCAAATATTGTCTATAAATGTTTGTTTTCATTTAAATGGACTTGGTTATATAAAATACATTTTAAAAAAATGGGTCAGGTGGTGGTGGTGAATGCCTTTAATCCCAGCACTCAGGAGGGAGAGACAGAAGGATTTCTGTGGGTTCAAGAACAGCCTGGTCTACAGAGCAAATTCCAAGACAGAATCCAAAGATACAGAGAAACCTTGTCTGGGAAGAAAGAAAGAAAGAAAGAAAGAAAGAAAGAAAGAAAGAAAGAAAGGAAGGAAGGAAGGAAGGAAGGAAGGAAGGAAGGAAGGAAGGAAAGAAGAAAGTTTAGGGTGTGTGGGATAGCTCAAATCATGGCACAAAGTGTTGTAGTGAGACAGACAGACTTTGCTTATTGGCGATCTCTTTTTTTTTTTTTTTTTTTTTTTTTTTTTTTTCCATCCATTGGCTCCACCTACAGGATGGTGTCACTGTGTTCAACATAGATCTTCACCTCCTTCATTAATTAATTATCTCTGGAGATGTATTTACAGACACACTCAAAAGAGCATTACTGTCTCCCAGGAGATCTCAATACAATCAAGTTCACAACTGAGATCAAAACAGCACACTACTTAATCTCAGGGGACAAACACATGAGAGTTCAAGTTTAATTTGCAATAGGAAAACTTTATTAGGAAGTCAGGATAAGGAAGGGGGTGGAGCCACCCCTGGGACACATGGAAGAATCAAGTTCTCCCCAGCCATAAAGCCTCCCCAGTAAGGGACACAGCTAATAGATGTCCAGAGGCACAATGCCAACTCCATCCAGTTCCAAATAGGGACTCCGACCTGTTGCCAACTAGTCTTGATGTCAGGATACAGTAAGCATGCTTCATGTAGGTTCTGCCCTCCTGGGGCAGTCTCAGCTGGGGATGGATGGGGAAAGTTGGCCAGGGTTCTAGTATCGCATCTGGTAGCCTGTGGAAGGGTGGAAAGGAGACAGCACTAAAGAGAGAGACTTTGGGTGGAGACTTAAAGAAAGATGAAGAAACTAGAAGCAAGAAGCCCAGTCTCTCCTGCAGCAACTCTGAGGATGGGGAGCCCATGGACCAGCCCCCTTCACCATCCCACAGACTTGTCAGTAGATTCTGTGGTTACTCAGGCAAAGATAACCACAACCTGATCCCTAGGTGCACATCTGTGCCCCTGCAAAGCAACTGGACATGCAAACACACGAGATACCTTGTAAAGGAACCGTTCCCTGATACCTAAAGGCTTCTCTGAACTATACATTGCAGTGTTGGTAGTAAGTTGTTTACTGTAACATCATTTTGGAGTTTTTAAAGATGAAACCATAGCTTAAAGCTCAGTGGATTTATTTATTTATTTATTTATTTATTTATTTATTTATTTACATGGGTATTTTGCCTCCATGTATGTATATGCCCTGTCTGTGTGCCTGGTGCTCTCAGAAGTCAGAAAAGGCCATGGGATCCCCTGGTACTAAAATTCTAGAGGGTTGTGAACCACCATGGATACTGAGGATTGAACCCAGGTCCTCTACAAAAGCAGCAAGTTCTCTTAACTGCTGAGCTATCTCTCCAACCCAGATACTGAATTTTACTGTAGTAATTCAATTTGTACATAGAAATTATTTCATGACCTAGAGGCCACCTCGCCCGCATGAGTCCCTCTTAGGGGTAGATGATGGCACCAGTGATATGCTCCCTTCAACAGTGTGCCATGCACTGGTTATACTGACTGACCACTGACTAAGGCCCCTGAACATCTTTTCCCATGTGTTGTCATTGATCCAGGCTGTCTATCCTAATGGTGACTGAAGACACTGGCCGTAGAGCCCCACAGTGCTGCACCCATCATTTGGAAAGTGCATGGCTATGAGGAAATAACTTGCTTCTTCCGAACTTCATTTTCCATAAATAAAAGTTATCTAGAGGCTGCAGTAGAAATGTGCATGACAGTGCACAACTTTCAACCCAGACCATTTGCAGATTTAATTCCATTCAATGGTCAATTAAGGACCAGGTAAGAGTCTATACTAGAGACTTTCCTAAAATCCATTTCTACTCAGGAGTCCAAAGACACAGAAAAGAGGTAGTTGCCTAGGTGCACAGGACTGTGAATTCAGTAACTCCTTACCTTGGGAGTCATCATCACAGTCGGCAGACTTTGAGGACTGGGACTGAGAGGGTCTTCTATCTCCTCCACCATGGCTGCCTCCACTTCCTCCTCCAGAACCACTTCCTCCACCATAGCTGCCTCTACTTCCTCCTCCAGAACCGCTTCCTCCACCATGGCTGCCTCCACTTCCTCCTCCAGAACCACTTCCTCCACCATGGCTGCCTCCACTTCCTCCCTTGGAGCCACCTCCTCTACTTTGGCCACCTCCACTTCCACCCCTGGATCCACTTCCTCCACCATAGCTTCCTCCACTGCCTCCCCCAGAACTGCTTCCTCCTCCACCATAGCTTCCTCCACTTCCTCCTCCGTGGCTACCTCCACTTTTTCCACCTTGGCCACCCCCACTTCCTCCTCCATAGCTGCCCCCACTTCCTCCTCCATAGCTGCCCCCACTTCCTCCTCCATAGCTGCCTCCACTTCCTCCTCCATAGCTGCCTCCACTTCCTCCTCCATGGCCACCCCCACTTCCTCCTCCATAGCTGCCCCCACTTCCTCTTTGTCTTCCTTTGCCACCTCCAAAGCCAATTTGTCCAGCTCCAGAAGATTCACTAAGGATAAAGGAAAACACATAGGTACATATGAAAGGACAACCCTGGACTGAATCAAGGCTCAAGTATGAACTGAAGCATCTCTTTCTCAAGTTGTTACCATTCTAGTTTCCAACACTCAAAAGCCCTGAGTGCTCCCCCGAGACACACACGCATACACACACACACAGAGAGAGAGAGAGAGAGAGAGAGAGAGAGAGAGAGAGAGACGGGATGAAGTCCTCAATCCATCAGACCCTTGCATATAAGAATTTATCTAGCAGCTTCTATTAGAAAGGCTAGAAATGGTGTCAGAAACTTAAGGACTCCTACAAGATTCCATACTCTTGAGTCTACAGACTCCTGAGAACCTACAAGTCTTGCTGGCCGCCTTCAAGGAGGTTGCGGTAAGTCTCAATTTCTTTTTCCAGCCTTGTCTTGATGCATAGCAGAATGCCATATTCCTGGTTCTGACACTCAGTTTCAGCCCGGACCTCAGCAAGCTGGGCCTCCACCTGACTGATCTGTTCCTGGATCTGTTGCAGCTGGCCACAGTAGCGGTTCTTTGTGTCTTCCAAAGCCTTCTCCAGGGCCGATTTCTAGGGAGCAAGAGGAGACTTTATGAGGAATGTTGCAATCCTGGCCCCTGCTGAGGATTCTGTAAAGCCATCTCATGCCCTGCCCTGGCAGTGAGCCTGGAGCAGGACTACCAACCGTGCTAAGCTGAGTCTGCAGCTCGATGTCCAACTCCTGGATATTGTGCTGGAGCTGGGACACTTCCTTCATGTTGCTCTCCATCTCTTGGCCACTGTTTGTCACTTCTTGTTCAATCTGGGTCATCTGCAAAGCAAAGGCTCAGTTAGGAACAGGTGGAGCCAAGAGCATCTGTGGGAAATACTGTGCTTCACTCACCAGGGTCTTTCCCGTTAAAACCAAGCAAAGCTGAGACCAAGCCATTGGATTCTGGACATCAATTCTCTAGACATCATATTCCTTTTCAGCAAGATTTCAAAGCCCTTCATACTATGTCCCAAAGCCACCTTTCTAATCTTGCTTCTTGAATACATGCACAATGGCTTGCCTTTATATGCCAGACTCTGTGCCAAGTTTTGGAGAACCGGGGAGGAAGGGAGCAGACATGAAACTCTGTACTCTGGAAGATGCTATGTGTCTCTACTAGAGTCTTCTATCACATAGGATTATAGTAAGTTGCCCACTCTCTGCATGTTGAACCACTTCACAGTTGCATCTGTGTGTGGCAAATGAATAATGTGTGGTGTCCATTGGAGAATGGATAGATATCTAGAGCTATGCTGAGAGATGAAGAGATAGAAGGATAAAGAGATGAGAAGAGGAAGGAAGGAAGTAGAAGGACACCTGGAAGAGCAGGGTTAGAGAACTGAATAGGCAACCCACTCTGCTCACCTTGGACTCATAGTGTTGCTCAATGTCCTGGCGGTTCTTAGAAATGAGTTGCTCGTACTCTTCACGCATGTCGTTGAGGATCTGGGTGAGATCTGTGCTAGGGGCAACATTTATCTCCACACTAACATCTCCATCATTCTGGCCTGTCAGCTGCTTCATCTCCTGCCAGGGAAGAAGAAGAAGACAGGAGGTTGGAGCGGGATCCTTCCTGTGTCATTCAACCTTCTCCCACAAGTCCTCTCAGAGTGCAAAAGAGGAAGAGCATCATGAAATCAAAACATGACTGCCACTGCAACCCATGCTGGAAGGCGTGTCCCCATTGAGAGTGCTGTCAGTGCTCCACAGCACCCTGTGCTATCCCCATCCTTCTGTTGTCCCTGTACCCACTAAGCCACAGACACAGTAACCTACCTCCTGGTGATTCTTCTTAATGGCCTTCAGCTCATCATCCAGGGTATCAAGCTGTATCTCCAGATCAGCTTTCTCCATCTTCATACCTTCCAACACCTTCTGCAGGCCATTAATATCAGCATCCACCCCTTGCCGCAAGGTCTGCTCCATTTCAAACCTGGAGGCCAACCATGGGTAGAGAATGATCAAGAGGGTACTAGATCCTACTGGGACCTCCAGAGCTCTGCAAATTGGGGATGAGGGAGAAAAAGCATCAGTATAGGGAGAAGGGAAGGGACTTACTTAACTCTGAAGTCATCCATAGTCATGCGAGTGTTGTCCATGTCCAGGAGTGTTCTGTTGTTCCTTGTTGTAAGATCCACAATCTGAAAGATAAGGTTGCATGAATAGGATTTTTTCCCTTAATATGACCAACTTCAGAGAGAGGAAGAGGCCAGACATAGCCAGCAGAGGAGATAATCACATGCAAGGTGTTCAAGAAGCAAGAGGACTTTTCCATCAGCTTGTATGTGACATGGCACCCGCACAGCCTTCCTCAGATGTGCCCAGGGTGGTCATCATCCATTCAGCAAATATTTGAAGATCTTCTGCAAAGTCAGTGGAGGGTCTAGGACAAATACCAAGGAGCCCACCATTGACACAGATTCTAAATTATCCCAAAAGAGTCATGAAAAGGAGAAGTAGCTTTGGCCATCTTGCGAAACCAGGAAAGACTTTGGAAAGGACATGACAATTGAACGAGGTCCTGAAGGACAGCTAAGATTTCATGTGAGTAGATGGATGGAAGAGATCTACAGCTGGAGAAACAGCACATTCAGAAATAAAAATATATAAAAGCAGGAGGGATGAGTGAGAACAGTAAGAAACCCAACCGTGGACTCCATTAGGGTGGAGGCTGAGTGTGGGCTTTCTCTATGGCTACTCAAGGCAACACAGAGGGTAGTCATCCACTTAAGTTAGTCAGCGGGTATGTGGATGGATGGATGGATGGATGGATGGATGAGTATCATCCTCACAACTAGAGATTCTTTACATCACTGATCAACAAGCCTACATTCCTGAGTCCTAAGGACCTAAAAAGATTAAGAAGAGCTCTGAGAGCCCAAGATAAATAGGAAAAGAAGAATAAGGCTGACTTGAAACCAGATCAAAGAACCCTCCAGTCAGATCCCTAGTGTTAATACAAGCTTCCTCCCTGCTCTGCCCAAACTCAAAATGAAATACCAAAGTTCAAATCCAAACCCAAACCCCTAAGACCTTAGAAACCAAACACAAGTTTGCTTCTGATGAAAATCCAAGCATGGCTTTGCTTGGACTCTAGCATCTTTCCTTTTCATGAGAAAGGCTGGGAAAGGAGGGAAGGAAGGGAAGGAAGGGAAGACAGGCCAGACAGAGAGAGAGAGAAAAAGAGAGATTTGATCCATGTACATACCCTGTCCTTCAGGTCTTCGATAGTGTTGTAGAAATGAGAGTAGTCCTTATGGAAGATTCTGGGCCCCTTCTTTGAATACCATTCCTGGATCTGCTTCTCTAGGGAGGTGTTGGCCTCCTCCAACTCCTGTACTTTATCCATGTAGGCGGCCAGACGGGAATTGAGATTCTGCATGACAGCCTTCTCATTGGTATTCAGAATACCACCTTCACCACCTCCAGAGCCACCACCGAAGCCACCTCCAGAGCCACCACCGAAGCCACCTCCAGAGCCACCACCGAAGCCACCTCCAGAGCCACCACCGAAGCCACCGCCAAAGCCACCGCCAGAGCCACCACCGAAGCCCCTAGAACCTCCCCCAAACATACTGCAGGAACTCCCTGCACTAAAGCCCCCTCCAGCTCCTCCACCATAGCTAGAGCCAAAACTTCCACAGGCTGCAAGGCCACCCCCACCAAAACCACTGGAAGAGCTAAAGCGGCCGCCTCCTCCACCAACCCTGGAGGAGCGACTGAAAGAAGACTGCATGCTGCTCCCGCTGCCCTTTCTGCCTCCACCGCCACAGCCGCTGCTGCTGCTGCTGCGACTCCAGAAAGATGAGATCTGTCTGCAACTCATGATGCTGCCTGCCTGCCGGAGTCAGTAGGCAGGAAGCGATCTTAGGGTTGCTGGGTACTGAACCATCCCTGGAGCTACCTTCTTATACCCTTGCTAAAGGTGGCACGCCTAGGTGTGCCCTCACTCTGTGCCAGCTTTCCCCCCTCAAAAAAATAGACTTAGAGAAGGTCTAGGGTATGGGAGCAGCAAGGAAGCCCCAGGCTCTGCGTCCCTTGGTGACTGCCCGTCAGCAGCCCAGCCTCTCTCCATTGTGTGGGGCAATTTAATGATATTAGGCTGTCAAGGGCCCCATAAATCAGCCCTGTTGCAGAGGGGGTGACCTATATCCTACAGTCTGGTGTCTGGCTGACCTTGACAACAGGTCTAACACTCAGCCCTCTGAGTACCTAAGATCAAGGTTGATTGTCATTCTCTAAACTCACTCTGCCCATGCCTGGTGTTCATCACTATGGATCCAGCTGCGGCCGTGGTACAGAACAGGGAGGGCTCTGCTCTTAGAACATGCTGAGATGGTGCTGTGACCAAAAGATGGAGATAGGTGCATAGCTGTGCATCCTCCAGAGTTCCAGAATAGCATGCAGCGTTCACATGGATGACTGTGAGAAGATGGCAAACCCAATAAATACACCCTTGTTACTGCTGGATGACTTTACAACAGGAGCACGATGGGACTGTCTGGCCTCGTGTGTGTGTGTGTGTGTGTGTGTGTGTGTGTGTGTGTGTGTGTGTGTGTTTTTTTGAGTGTGTTGCATATGTGTACACATGTATATACACATGTGAAGGCCAGAGTTGTCACTACCCACCTTATTGTCAGAGGCAGGGTCTCTCACTAACCCTGGAGCTCACTGATTCATCAAAACTACCTGGCCAATAAGCCACAAGGATCCTTCTCTCTCTGACTTCCCGGCACTGGTTCCACAGTGCACTGTGTAGGATTCCACGGCTATGACCAGCTTTCTACACAGGTGCTGGTCATCAAACTCAGGCCATTGTCTTTGCATGGCAAACACCTTGTCCCCTGATTCATCTTCCCAGCCTCTGACCTGATTCTTCTTACAGAGCCCCACAGTGAATATAATGACTTTCTCTTGGTTGGGTGCCTGTCTTATGCTCAACCCTGGGGGTGGCAGGATACCAGGATGTCACTCTCCCTTACTCTTGATAGAACATCACACTTATTCTGGTCACCAGTGCCAAAGGAGATTTTTTTAAAGAGGCTATGGGCTCTGCTGCCAGATAACCTGGACACAGTCCCGACTCTGCTCCCTGGATGTGTGATAACTTGATCTCTATGCTGGGCCTCTGTTCTCGCCTCCAAAGTGTGATTTGCCCATCTCAAGAAAGAAGGCATGAGAGAGGCTTAAGAACGATTGCTTCTGATCATTCACCTGCTTAAGTCCCCCCCCTCACTGATACTGACCCTTGGTTCTGAGATGTCAGCTTCTAACAGCTCTCCTTGCTCCTCCCATACCTCTTGACTGTTTTTAAATCTTCAACCCATTAATTAATCAGTGTGTGTGTTCTGATGGGGGAAATGCACCTGTCTTGGTGCACAAGTACAGATAGGAGATGACTATAGAGTGGGCTCCCTTCTTTCACTCCAGTTCTGAGGTCCGAGCTCAGCTCTCCAGGTTTGTGCCTTTACCCCACTGAGCCATCTTGTCAGCCCCCTGGACCTTTTGACCTGCCCCTGAGATGACCTTTCTAATGTCTCTCCTCTGGCTTCCCTTAAGACAAGATCCATGCTTCTGGCATTCAAGGCCAGTCCCCAGTTTTGCATCCCGTTCTCCAAAAAAACTACCAAATCTCGTGAAGCTCCTTACAGGACCCCTGAACTCCTACAGTTCCTTTCCCACCAAAATGTTCCCTCTTATCTCCTCTGTTCAGTAAACTCCTACTCACTGCTAGCAAACCTGTGTGCCTCCTCTTCCAGGAAGCCTCCCTGAGAAAACCTGTGTGCCTCTTCTTCCAGGAAGCCTCCTGAGCAAACCTGTGTGCCTCCTCTCCCTAAGGGCTCCTCCTCTTAATTCCCACTTAGTCCTCTGTCCAGTTCTGAGCTCTCACCTTGCCTCTTAGGGCCCCTACCACCACCAGCAGCACCCCCATTGCAGCAAGGATTCCTCCCCTCCCCGACCTCAGCAGGACCTTCTCTAAGCCTGTACCTGCTCATCTTGCACATGCCCCAGTGCCCAAACCCCATGCTGGTCAAAGTAAGATCCCAATAAAACAGAATAAAAGGGAAAGAACCAGTCATTTCAAACGGATGTCCAGGGCTGGGAGAGAACAGGAAATAGGAAAAAAGTTCACGAGGGTTGACAAGGGCCTGAAGCCTTGGAGGTGTGGCTGAGTGGTACAAGTCTCCTCCTAGCAAGGGTCTAGAAGAGGGTCTCTGGATGGTAGTATAAAGAGTAGCATATGAGAGATGCTTCTGGATGATATGTGGAGACTATGTTCAGTAACAGAATCGAGCATTCCAGGAGCGGAGGCAGGAGAATTGCAAGTTGGAGACCAGCCTGGGATACATAACAAGACCCTGCCAAAATGACAGCAAAAACACTGGTCACATGGCAAGAAAAGCATTTCGTTTGCTATGTTCCTGATTCTCCAGGAAAGAAATCTCAGTCAGCACTGTAGTCCCCTTAGCAGCCTCCACACCTGTCAATCATCCTAGCCAATCAAATTAAGCCCATCCTGGCTCAGAACCTGCAGGAAATAATAGCATCTAGTTAGACATGTCTGCCTCATTGACAGTATAAATGGCAATTGATACTCAGTTTCCTCTTTTTTTTTTCTGTAGTAAATATGCTTGTAACAAATTTTTCTGTAACAAATATGCTTGTTAAAATGAAAAGAGAGCTAGTTTACCAAAATGAGTGAAGTAAATATTTAAATTGGTAGTGCAGAGTATGTTCATTAAAATAGACAATTAAGTAGAACTGAATGTTAATAGCAGGTTTTTGCAAGTCTAACACTTGAGAAACTCTTAGACCAAGGCTAGTGGTGAGTCTGGTCACTGTCCTCACTTCTTGATGGCTCTAAATCTCTGCCCACATTCCTGCCAGATTCCACTGGAAAACACCCAAGACCTGTCCTCAATGTGATCCAAGGCTCAGACCCATTCTGATGCCCTCCCCCCCCACCCCATCACCCCACCACCACCACCACCACCACCCCGCTTTGCCACAGGCACGCTAACATCACCAGTCTCATTGGATGGAAACTCCAAGTCCCAGGGCTTAAACTGGTGGAGGACATGTTGGCCAAGTTGAGATGGGCAGCTTCAGGGAGAGCAGCCCTTCTGTGACCCTGGTCTTAGCAAATGCATTCTGTTAGCTTGGCTTGGCTTAGCTAGGCTTGGCTTGGCTTGGTTTTGTTGTAGGGTCTAACTATTATAGCTGACCTTGAGTTCCTGATTCTCCTGCTTCAGACTCCAAAGTTCTGGGATGACTGGCATCTACTTGCTTTTCCCTGAAGGTTACACCTATCTGGACCGTGCTCTGCCTGGATCCAGGAATCCCTAAACATCCCTTCCCATCTGAATTCAAAGCAGACACAGGCCTTTCTCCTGCATCTGGGTCATGTCTGTATGTGGCTCCAGTGCCTCTACCCCTGAGATGGAGTCCTCCCCACTGAGTCTCCTGGGACATCACAGTGAAAACAACAGTGTCTTGCCAGTGAGGCACGGCTGGGCCACCCTTGTGGTTCGGCCTCAGTTTCCCCATGGGAAGTCCTTGCATGCTGAGCTGCCAGGAGCACAAATACATTACATGATGGAGGGAGCCAGTATGAAAGCCCAATCGTCCATGTGCGTTCATTCTGTCCCCTTTGCCCTCCCCCCTCATCTACTCTCCTTCCTATTCTCCCTCCTCCCAGTGCCTAACCCCACCACATCCTCTCCTCCCCACATCCACCTTCCTTCCCATCCTTTCTTCTCCTCTCCACATCTGGTTCTACTTTCAACCCAAGGAGGAGCCAACCATGCTGGGTAACTCCTATGAACCAGACGTATATCGGTTCTACAATTTTTCACCATCTCCTCCCTTCTTCCAGCTCTGTCTGGCATTGAAAAGATGGTGCCAGGGATGAGGAAGTTAACTGTCCTGGACTGAGTTTAAGGCCTCTTCCTGGCTGTGTGGCAGGGCTTGGGGTTTGCCCTCTCATCACTACCTCCCACTCCTCCTGGCAATGAACAAGGAATAGCTCAGGGTACCCTTTCCCAGGTCTCCATAAGAACAAATTCTGTCTCTATTGCCCATGTCCAGACTGCAGCTAATATTGGGAAATCCTAACACATCTTGGGACATTATCCTGACCGTGAGTGGCACTAAGTATGATTTTTATCCTCACTCCTGGATCATCTGGATGACCTGGATTCAACCCTCTTGCTTGCTGCTTGCCTATCCCTTTAGACAAGTGGGCCCCCACACCAGTCTCTCAAATACAATCCATGTCCTCAGAACATAGATAGAGCTAAATCAAGGACTTTGGGGACCTAAGAGACAGAGAGAGGAACCCTGAGTGGGTTCTAACTGCAAGGACTCAAGGGAACTGGTCCCGTACTAGGGGTATGAGGACTCAAGAGGAGGCAAGGCCAGCCTGGCTCTGGCTATAGAAGCCTCCTGCTTGCCTGCATCCAGCCACCCAACCCTTCTGGCTCCACTTGCTCCCCACCACTCTGTGTCCTTGAGCTCAGGTGGGGCCAGAAGGTCCTGAGTCATTCTGAGGCTGGATGCTGACTGAAGGAACACAAACATGACTCATAGCTCCTGTCCTGGCTCACAGGCCACCCCTCCATGAGCCTCCTATGCGCGTGGGCACTTAGGGTTGATGTACAGCTGGAGGTGCCTGCATGTATCTGTCAACAGCAACTCTTACTTGCCGAATAGTCACCTCCCCTCACCCCACCTAGCCAGACCCTGCCAGACTAAGGTGCTCTGAGTCTAAAACCAGAGTCTTCCATCTATTTAAGGAATATTGCTTCCCCTCTACCTCAGACTAGC